GTTTGGTTTGGTTTTAATAAAAAAATTAACTGAAAAAAACCGAACCAAACCAACTATAGAAGTAGATATTTAAATTTATTATTACACCCTATATATATGTATATTTTTATATAAAGTTTCTAAAATTTTATGGTACTTATTAGTCGTTTATATTTTTAGTCTAGTTTTTTGCTATTATAATAATCTCATTCTATGCCTTTACATTCTAATTTGGTTGGTAGTTTTCTTTTGCTAAGTACAAAGGTTTATTTCATGTTAAAAATAATCGATTTTTAATTGAGTACATAAATTATTCATCACTATTTGATTCAATTATCATAAATATAGCTTGGTAAATGATAGATTTCTCAAAGAGCAATTGGTTTGATGGTGTTATATTGAAAATGTAGTCTCCGGAATATGTGTTTGGTAGTGTATGTCTCATATTTAAGAAAAAAAATGATAAATAACGAAAAACCGAAAAACCGACCAAAACCGATAAAAACCGAATCGATAAAAAACCGACTTAATTAGTTTGGTTTGGTTCCAATATTTGAAGAACCGACTTACTTGGTTTGATTTTTTTTTTTTTAGGAAAAAATCGATCCAAACCGAACCATGAACACCCCTATTCTTATTATTTACACAGCACTCATGAAGTTAAGGGTAAAATCGTCTTTTCATATTAATTTTAATAGAGTAGCGGCTATTTTTGCTCCGCATTAAAAATACTGGATAAAAACTGAATACCACATTAAAAAGTGGCTACCCCACGCCATTTCTACCCAAATACAAAAACTCTTAACATGATGTGATATTGTCTGTTTCGGCCCAAGCCTGTAGGGTTCCCCCAAAAGGCCTTACACCATTAAAAGTATCCAACTCTTTATAAGTAGCTTATTTTTCTTTTTTACTTTTCATGTGGGACTTTGTTCACACACTCCCAACAACCTCCCCCTTGAACTAAGTTCCTCATGACCCATCACCGTTTATGGGTTAATTTGGAGATTAATTGTCTGTCACCCACATGATCCGAATATTTACGGTCACTGAAGCCCAATGAGAGGCTGTGTATGCGTCTTTGAAGCTATGTGTAAAGGTAGTGAACCAGCCCATAGACGGGCAAAGGCACTAAGCCGGGCCCTATGCTATCACTTCGCCATCTCCATACTCGTCTCGCCAAACTATTGGCTCTGATACCAAGATAAAGATGTGGACATTGGGCCTAATTCAACCCCAAAATCTAGCTCATGAGGTGAAGATTGCCCAAGCCATATAAGGAGACCAAGTCCCTCAGCCCTTAGCTGATGTGGGAGTAGGGTGTGCATCGGTCGGTGCGGTCCGGCTGTGAATATCGATTTCGCATATCGGTTATCGGTATAAATATGGTAAACTGATAACCAAACTATAAGATATTCGTTATTGGTTATCGGTTATCTACCATTATCGGTTCCGTTATCCATTTACTCGATAAGATAACTCAATCTAGAGGTAAGAAGCATAGTGTACAACACACATGAAATGAACTTTAATCACTGGAGTTGCTTACTTGACTACAAGATACCATTTGCAAATTCCCTCGATTTTTCACACTACAAACGAAGATAAGGAAGTAATCAAGGAATAGTTTTACGTAAAGTTGACATGAAGTTAAGCAAAAAATAGAAGACAATTCACTTGAGACTGAACGTTACAAAAGATATCCTATAGCTCCTAAATTCAACAACACAAATTTCAACAACGAGCAAACAAAACCTTAAAAATTCAATAAAAGAACTAATAAAACAGTGGATGAATTCACATGTGACTTAGTAAATTTGTATGCAAGAAAAGAACCAACAATACAGTGGGTGAATTCATATGTGACAGTGAAATTGGAACAACAAAGGAATATGCCCACTGTCCAGATATCAAGAGATGTCAACAAACAATCAAATGTTTTAACTCTAATTAAACGAATTAAATCCAGAACTTCGAAGACCAACGCACAAGAATTTTCTCAAAATTTTAGTACATATCTCGAATTAAATCCAAAACAACCTCAAACAATGAGTTAGAAAATCCAAAAACAGTGATCCAAAAAATAATGAGGAAAATGAGAATTGTAAAGTGATGAAGAGAATCATAAACTTACCTAAAATTGATGGAGATTGTCGATTGAGAAGTGAGAAAAACTTGTCAATCGTAGGTATAGGCTGCACGATAGCCGACATGAGTTAACCAAATGAAAATCGAAAATAAAGAATTATAAAACATGAGCACAAAATAAAGAATCGAAAACAATCAAAAATCATGTATTTTTATTATCAAAATCTACTGTAAAACTCAAAAGAAAGGAATGAAATTTGTTCTTAAGAAAGAAGTAAATAAATTTCAAATTCTGGAAAACAAACTTACGCTAAGATTCTAAGAATGTGGTTGTATTTTGAAATTTGAAGAAAAACTGATGAAAAAGTTGAATCAATTCATCACTGAACTCTGAAAAGTGAACTGTGAAACTTGATATTCTGAATGCGGCTCGGGAAATTAGGAGAAAAAGATAGAATGAAGCCCTAGATGTATAGTAGTAACTTAAGGGTAAAATCGTAATTTTATTAAATCTTATTGGGTAACTGAATAATACTCTTCGGGGAACTGAATAATACTCTTCAGGGAGCTGAATAAATTTTTAAAATATTTTTACTTATCTATATTAATTTTGAAACATATTTATCCTCACTATTAAGGTTTTAACTTAATTACAAGTCTATATATAAATTACCAATTTTGTACAAAATAATGTATTAGACTCTAATCTTCCATACACTCTCTCTCTCTCTCTCTCTCTCTCTCTCTCTCTCTCTCTCTCTCTCTCTCTCCTACTCCAAAATTAAAATTATAAATTAAAAGAAAGTTTGGCCACTTTCTCCTCAACTTCAGCCATATCTTTACGAGAACAAAGAGATTGGACATCAAGCAATTCTACTATGTTTTCTCTTTCTTATTATATTCAGGTTTTTTTTCTATGTTAAATAATGAACGAATTATCACTTTTGAATGAGGAAAGTGTCACGACCCAAAATTCACTAGTCGTGATAGCACCTAACCCAACTCGCTAGCTAAGCCAACAACAACAATGGCCCGGTATAATCCCACAAGTAGGGTCTGGGGAGGGTAATATGTATGCAGACCTTACCCCTACCCCGAGGGGCAGAGAGGCTGTTTCCAGGAGACCCTCAGCTCAAGAAAGCAACAAGAGACGATATATTGGTACCATCAATAGTATCATAATAAAATAACAGCAATATAAGAAATACGAAATAGATGGAAGGTATAATAATAACCAGCAGATAAAGCCCTGCATCAGTAGATGACCACTAGCATCCTAAAACTAACTCCTAACTGGCTAGTTTCACTCTAGTGAGCTGTAGAAATATTCACAACTTCCCTCTAACCTACAACCTTAATGCTCGACCTCCACAATTCCCTGTCAAGGGCGATGTCCTCAGTAATCCTAAGTCGCGCCATGTCCTGCCTCATCACCTCTCCCCAATTCTTCTTAGGTCGCCCTCTACCTCTCCTCGTGCCCACCACAGCCAGTCGTTCACACCTCCTCACCGGTGCATCAGTGCTCCTCCTCTGAATGTGCCCGAACCATCTGAGTCTTGATTCCCGCATCTTGTCCTCCATGGGGGCCACGCCCACCTTCTCTCGAATATCTCCATTCCTAATCTTATCCATCCTTGTATGCCCACACATCCATCTCAACATCCTCATCTCTGCTACTTTCATCTTCTGGATGTGTGAGTTCTTAACCGGCCAACACTCAGTCTCATACAACATGGCAGGCCTAACCACTGCTCTATAAAACTTACCTTTAAGTAACGGTGGCACTTTCTTGTCACACAGGACTCCCGACGCTAACCTCCACTTCATCCACCCCACCCTTATACGGTGTGTGACATCCTCGTCGATCTCCCTGATCCCCTAAATAACCGACCCAAGGTACTTGAGACTACCCCTCTTGGGAATGACTTGAGAGTCAAGCCTCACGTCCACTCCCGCTTCCGTCGGCTCGACCCCAAATTTGCACTCGAGGTATTCCGACTTCGTCCTGCTCAACTTGAAACCTTTAGACTCAAGAGCATGTCTCCAAACCTCTAGCCTCTCGTTGACGCCGCCTCATGTCTCGTCAATTTGAACTATGTCATCAGCAAATAGCATGCACCATGGCACCTCCCCTTGAATATGATGAGTTAGTGCATCCATCACCAGGGCAAATAGGAATGGGTTGAACGCATACCCTTGGTGCAACCCCGTAAAAATCGGAAAATGCTCGAAGTCGCCTCCTACTGTCCTAAGACCTCCCTAGGAACCCTGTCGTACGCTTTCTCCAAATCAATAAACACTATGTGGAGATCCTTCTTCCTATCCATGTATTGTTCCACCATCCTCCTAATAAGGTGGATAGCTTCTGTCCTAGATCGCCCCGGCATGAACCCAAACTGGTTGTCTGAAATAGACACCGTCCTTCGCACTCTCATTTCTACCACTCTCTCCCAAACTTTCATGGTATGACTCAGTAATTTGATACCCCTATAGTTGTTACAGCTCTGGATATCGCCTTTGTTCTTATACAACGGAACCATTGTACTCCACCTCCATTCTTCAAGCATCCTATTAGTCTTGAAAAAAACATTAAATAATCCAGTAAGCCATTCCAAGCCTGCTCTACCCACACACCTCCAAAGTTCAACCGGAATTTCGTTTGGCCCGGTAGCTCTGCATGACCTCATCGACCTCAATGTCCCTACAATAACTTAATTCATGGGGACTGTCGGCATTCCTCAATTCACCTAGTACAATATCCTGATCTCCTTCTTCATTTAGAAGTTTTTGAAAGTAGGTCTGCCACCTCCTCTTAATCTGGTCATCCCCCATCAAAACTTTGCCGTCATCATCTTTTATGCACCTCACTTGGTCCAGATCCCGAGCCGTCCTCTCTCTCACCTCAGCCAGTCAGAATAACTTCTTCTCCTCGCCTTTGTTCCCTAGTTCCTCATACAGACGAGCAAAAGCTGCAGTCTTAGCCTCCGTGACTGCCATCTTCGCCTCCTTCCTAGCTACCTTATACCTCTCACTGTTCGCTCTCCTCTCCTCCTCGCCAGTGCTCCCTACTAACCCCAGGTAAGCCCCCCTTCTTTGCTTCCACTTTACCTTGGACAACTGCATTCCACCACTAGTCTCCTTTGTGGCCACCGGTGCGGCCCGAAGATATCCCCAACACCTCTCTCGCCGCCTTTCTTATACAGTCCGCCGTCGTCGACCACATAGTGTTTGCGTCCCCACTACTTCTCCAAGCTCCCATTGCCGATAACCTTCTTTCCAACTCCTGAGCTTTATCCTTAGTCAAGGCGCCCCACCTAATCCTCGGACGGCCTCGTACTGGCCTCTTCTTCCTCCTTATCATAATACCAATGTCCATCACCAAAAGCCTATGCTGCGTTGCGAGGGTCTCACCTGGGATAACCTTGCAATCCTCGCACAACCTTCTGTCGCATCTCCTGAGGAGGAGATAGTCAATCTGAGTCTTCGCCACCGAACTTTGGTAAGTAACCAAATGCTCCTCCCGCTTCGGAAAACTTGAGTTCGCAATTACTAGATCGAATGCCTTGGCAAAGTCCAACAGCGAAGTGCCCCCGCCATTCCGCTCCCCGTAACCGAAGCCGCCATGCACCTCAGTATAACCACCTGCAGACGACCCAATATGACTATTGAAATCTCCTCTTATGAATAACCTCTCGGATGGCGGAATACTACGAACGATCTCATCCAACCCCTCCCAAAAGCGCCTTTTAATCTCCTCATCCAAGCCTGCTTGCGGCGCGTACGCGCTAACGACATTTAAAGTACACTCACCCACCGCCAACTTAATAGTCATTAATCTATCATTCACCCGCCTGACCTCTACCACCGACTCTCTAAGATGGCTATCTACCAGGATACCCACTCCATTCTTACCCCTCAGGACTCTAGAGTACCACAACTTATACCCATCCGCATTTTTCGCCCTCGATCCGACCCACCTAGTCTCCTGGACACACGCTATATTAATCTTCCTCTTCTGAAGGATCTTCGCCAACTCTATAGACTTACTCGTTAGTGAACCTATGTTCCATGACCCGATTCTCAACCTATAGGCTCCATTGCCCCCTCTACCTCCCCTGTCTCCCGTCCCGCCCCCTGACCCCGCCCCACACTCTGCCCCACCCGAGGACATGCCCATATTCTATCATCCCAGACTACAGCCACTACACCTACGACAATCTAAAGAAGACTCGCTAGTGCATAACGGAAACGAAATAAACTAGAAGGAAACAAGTGACTACTAGCACACTAGTTGAATGATTGAACTATTGCGAACTATTGTAACATCAATTTAGCTAACACCAAAAGGAAAACAGTAAAACGGGAGGTACCAACTCCCGGGAACAAAACCTGTGATTGATTTGCTGTACTAGATGTAGTTGTACGCTCACGCTCCGCTTCCCACCGCCCTTTGCTGACACTCGCCCAGGCTGCTCTCTTTGCTAGTGCTCGTGCGCCCAACTTGTCTCCAACAACTTCGAGAATTTCCCTGAAAACACAGAAAATACCACGACCCAAAACCCAAAAAGGGGATGTCACCGCTACCACTGGTGTAGCCCCGACAGTAGCAGGGGAAATGTAGGGAAAAAGCAGAGAACTACACAACACACAAATTAATTTAATTTCCAACACCAAATTAACAAGAAATACAGTATTTCACAATAAGAAATTAACGTAATCTGCAAAAAGCCACCAACTTTATCATCAACCATCCACAAATCCGACAAAATTACAGCGGTAAAAACTCAAAAGCGTACAATCCCTCAAGTCAGCAACAGATAGAGCAAAGGAACAGATTATTAAATTAACTATAAGATAGGTATAGGTAATTTTCAACCGACCGGACCAATTTATTTAACAAAATAGAGATTAAACAAATTCACGAAAGGCAAAAAATTGACGAGAAAATCAGATCTGTGCTCAGGTTAACAGATTTGAAACATATAATCAAATATGTACAACATACATAAAGGAAGACAAAAGAAGAAAGAAAATTCAAAGAAGAAAACTGGAACACACAAAACACACAACGGGACCAAGAAAAATAAAGGAAATGTCGGGCTGCCACCGCTTCCACTGGTGAACACAGATCTGGTGTTGGAGCTGATATCACCGTAGAATAGCGGTGGGGCAGAGACACAACGGGCAGAGAAAGAAGAATAAAAGAAGAAAAGAAGAAAGAAGGAGAAAAGAAGCACAGGGGAGGGGGTTGGGCTGCAACCGGACTAAATAGAAGAAGAAAGGAGAGACAGGCCGGCCCGGGGACAAGTCGCCGGAAAAAATGGTTGCTACTAGGGTTAAGAGGGAGGAGAAGAAGATAAAGTGAAGGGGGGAGGGCAAGAGAGAAGGGAGGAGAGAGAGAATAGAGAGAGGAGAGTGGGGGGGGAGGGGGGTCGGGGTCACTTACCTGGTCGCTATCGCCGGAGGGTTCGCCGGCAAAGTAACAGTCGACAATTGTGGTCGAGGAGAGAGAAAGTGAGAAACTCAGTAACGGTCTAATGACAATTGAGGTCGAGGAGAGAGAAAACCAACAAAAAGTCGAAATTGTTTACAAGAAATTGAGAAATAAATTATATGGATCTATTACAGCTCCCAAGGACTAGTAGTACAAATCATGAGCTTCTAAGAATAGAGTTTACAAAGCTGGTATGAAATAAATACATCTCCTGTTTGAAAAGTACATAAACAGAGTTTTATAAATCAACGACTACCATGAACAAGAGGTAGCCACAACCAGAATGCAGGTACGCCTTCAAATCCAACAACCATCAAACCTATCATCGGCATCCAGGAACTGCACGCACTGTGCAGGAAGTGCAGTATGAGTACAACCGACCCCATGTACTCAAAAAGTAACAAACCTAACCTTAGGTTGAAAGTAGTGACGAGCTGGAACATAGGTCGGGTCCAACACCAATAGCCAATAGTGTCGCGCCCCCTTTTTCCTCCGCGGAAATTAGGTTTGTGACATTTGGGAGGATAACTCATTCCTTTTGGGAATTGGATTTGATTTAAAGAGTCGCCACCTAATGATTAGGGTGCATTAGGACACCAAGGAGGTTTGATTTGAATAACCAGAGATAGGGTAAGGGCTTGAAATTATTCTAAGGGGAAGGTGTTAGGCACCCCTCAGAATCCACTAGTGTGGTTCCCGGCCAGACTATTATTGTGAATTTGGGTACAATTAACATATAGAAAAATAAGGCTCAAATAAGAGGGGATTTTTATCACATAAAGGTTTGAAAGTAAACACGTTTTGAAAGAACAATTAGAAAAGCTGATTTTAAAAAAAAGAGTTTAAAATACTGGAAAGAAAGAATAAAGGGAGGGGGTCCTAGGTTTATTAATAATATGGATCACCCCACACAATGCCCGGTAATCACTCCTGAATGAGGGGCTACACGTGACATTATCGCGTGGTCATCATATCCATATCTACCCTTCCCACCCCGTTAAGGTATTAAGCGCGGAATGGTCTCGCTTACCTATTGCATGCTACTACCCGTCCCAATCCTATCAGTCCCGGGGCATTTAGGACTACTAATCCTAAGGGAGGTAGGGATGTTAGGCTTATTTGTGGTTTTAAAGGCAAAAATTCTAAGGCGACATACAAAACATGTATAGCAAGTTGGGAAAAGCACATAACACGCAAAGGCTCAGATATATCCCCTTTAACAAAGAAACAAATATTTAGCATGACTTACACATACTAGTTAAGGTTTGTCTAAACATTAAACATGCGAGAACTTAAAGGTTAGGCAGACTGATTTATTACATAATTCAGATAAGAAGCCCGAATCAGGCCTTCTTGCTGGTTGTAGTTATTACAAAAGATTCAAATTTTAATTTTACCCTAAGGCTTGCCTAAGTGTGGGACAAGGATCCTATAGGCATGGTATCTACTGAATTACGAACGCAATAACAAAAAACTGAATACGTACTGGTTAAAAAGATAGTCAGATTATTAAAGAAAGGCAAGTTTTTACGAAGGTTGTAAGTTCTGCAAATGATGATACATCGTTATTACTGTTTTTATGTAACGATCCGACCGGTCGTTTTTAGAATTCACGCCTCGATCCCCCATTAACTGTTTCCCCTAAGTTCATTTCTGCTATTTTGGTTTGCCGGGACGTTCGGTGTAGAGTTTTGGAGAGTTTTGGGACACTTAGTCCCTAAATGAGAGCTTAAGAGTTGAAAAATGGTCCGTAATCAGAACAGTGTGAAGACGATATCGGAATGGAAATCCGATGGTTCCGTTAGCTCCGTTAGGTGATTTCGGGGTTGGGAGCGTGTTCGGAATGTATTTTGGAGGATTGTAGCTCATTTAGGCTTGAAATGCCGAAGTTTGAATTTTTGAAGTTTCCGGTCCGATAGTGAGTTTTTGATCCGAGGGTCGGATTGGAATTCCGGAAGTTGCAATAGTTCCGTCATGCCATTTGGGATGTGTGTGCAAAATTTCAGGTCATTCGGACGAGGTTCGGGTAGGTTTTTGATCGAAAGCGTGTTTGGTTGGAATTTGAAGTTCTTAGGCTTGAATCTTTGATTAATTCGGGTTTCCGGCGTTGTTTAGGTGTTTTCAAGATTGGTACAAGTTTGAATAAGGTATTAGGTGGTATTGGTACTTTTGGTTGAGGTCCCGGGGGCCTCGGGATGATTTCGGGTGGTTAACGGAAGAGTTTTGGAAGTTGAGAAATAGCAGCACTGCTGCTTCTGGTATCTTTCCGCTTCTGCGGCTTGGGAACCGCAGAAGCGGAGCCGCAGAAGCGGACTTGGTCGTCGCAGAAGCGAGTTTAGCCCTCCCTCTCAGGAACCGCAGAAGCGGTCGCCATTTCGCAGAAGCGGAACCGCAGGAGCGTTATGTGTCCGTAGAAGCGGACTCTGGTCCATTAAGTGAAAACCGCAGAAGCGGTTGTTTTTCCGCATATGCGGGACCGCAGAAGCGGAAATCCCTGGGCAGAAATAAAAATGTCGAGGGTTTGAGTTCATAAGTTACAAAATCAATTGAGAGCTCGGGAGAGGGCGATTTTGAGTGGGTTTTGAAGAGAAGATTTATTGGGTAACGTTTCTTAATCCCTTCTAGTTATATTTCATTATTTTGCAGTTAAATCCATCATCTAAAATTCGAATTTGGGACTAAAATTGGAGGAATTTGGTTAGAACTTCTTAGGCCAAACTTTGGGATTTTGAGTGAGCATTTGACCTCCGATTTGGGAGATTTTTATATGGTTAGACTGGTGAGAATACGAGGGTTCTGAAAATGTAAAAAATTATTTGATTTCGAGGCGTTGGCCTGAAGGGCATTTTGGTCATTTCACCTAATTTAACGCCGTAGCTTTGAATTAAATAGTAGAATCAATTGCTTGAGATGTTATTTACAATGTGTGATTTAATTGAATAGATTTGGGCCATTTGGAGTCGAGTACTCGTGGCAAGAACGTGGTTGCTAGTTGATTTTAGCCGGTTCGAGGTAAGTATCTTGCCTAACCTTGTGTGGGGGACTTCCCCTTAGGATTTGAGTCTTCCTTGTTGATTGTATTCCTTGTACGCGAGGTGACGAGTGCGGGCTAGGATTTATTTGTGGAAAATTGTCCCTTTTAGGCTCTTAGATCCTTGTAGTCACCGAATATAAAGTTGTTCTTGATACGATTGAGTTCCCTGTTATTAGCTTCACCTTTACATGTCTTACTTGAAATTTATTTGCCCCTTTTTGGCTTATTCTTGTTGCCTAATCGACCTTTACTTGTTTCACTGTAGACATTACCCTTCTATAGTCACATTATCATTCCTAACTGTTTGTCTTTATTTGGAAAGCATTATTTCTATCTCTCGTGTAATTAATTGGTCTTAATTGGAAAGAAGTTAGATATCCTATATTCAGTTGATACTTCCTTAATTGTAATTATTTGATTCCTGTTAACTTCCTTGTTGTTGAACTTAGTATTATGGAACCGTTGTTTCATATTATTTCTCCCTTGTTGAGTTGTTCTTATTGCGCTTAGTATTTCTCTGTTACGGTTATTCCTTGTGAGTTAGTTGTACCGTCTTTTGGTGAACGGAAATACCTGAGTTGATTCTCTTGCCTTGATCCTGTATATATTGTCGTTTGTTGTGTTGTACTTGAGATTGTGACGCACGAGG